AAATCTTATACATTTTGTTTTTGTGGCATTTAACTGTAAATTATTTGCAGAAAACCAGCACACTATTTTAGAAAGTGCATTGTTCACATCGTCAAAATTTGTCTTATATCTATTTACTTTAAAAATCAAGGACGTGTCATCAGCAAACAATACAATATCACATAATGGCTTTGGATAAGAAGGCAAATCGTTAATATATATAAGAAATAAAAATGGTCCTAATATTGATCCTTGAGGGACTCCCATTTTAATATGTGATCCCGAAGATTTAGTTCCATTTATATCAACTTTATGAGTTCGACAACTTAGGTAAGAGGTTATTAAGTTAAGAGCTACATTTTTTATACCATAGTGGTCAAGTTTGCAAAGCAGAGTCTCATGATCAACACAATCAAACGCCTTGGACAAATCGCAGAAAACTCCCAGTACATTTTGAGTTTTCTCCCATGCATCAAATATATGTCGTAACAGAGCTATTCCAGCATCGGTAGTGGAGCGACCTTTAGTAAAACCGTATTGTGCGTTGTGTAGAAGACTGTTTGTATTTAAGAATGTAATTAATTGTTCTAGTATAATTTTTTCAAAAACTTTACTTAAAGTTGGCAATATTGAGATGGGTCTAAAATTAGTAGGATCTGTCCTGCATCCAGATTTAAATAAAGGTATTATTTTACTATGCTTCATTAAATCTGGAAAACTTCCTTCATCAATACAATTGTTAAAAATATACGCAAGATCTGGGGCAATAATATCTATAATGTCCTTAATAATACGTACAGAAACATCCCACAAGTCTCCAGAATGTTTTAATTTTAAAGATTTAAAAGTTTTAACTACATCACCAGCGCTAACGTGCTTAAACTGAAAATTTATTTTGCATTCCGGTACGTGACTTTTAAGAAAACTAATAGCCTCTTTGGAAGAGGAATTAAGAGAAGATGTAGTAATTACAGGTATGTTTGTAAAGAAATCTTCAAAAATATCAGCAATCTCTGAGCTTTCAACAATAATCTTATCATCTACCTTTAAAAAGAATGAATTATTACGGGATTTAAGGTTTCCTGTTTCTCGATTTATAACATTCCAAGTAGTTTTGATTTTATTACTTGAATTCTTAATTTTCTCACGTATATGCAATGCCTTTGTATATTTGCAAACTTTTCTAAAAGTTTTGGAATAATTTCTGACATATTCCATAAACACTGCGTTGTGATTATATTTTCTTAATGCATATAATTCATAAAGCCTATTCCTACTTTTGAAAATACCTCTCGTGGCCCAGTCATCAAACTTGATTTTTTTTTTGTTGCACTTTACAGTCTTTAATGGGTAAATACTATCAAACTCATTTTGAATAACATTAAACAATCTTTTGTATTGACTCTCCGAATTATTTAGAACAGAGTAATCTATTGCACAAACCTTAGAATTAATATTTTGCCTAAAACTTTCGATGCGACTTTTTGTGATGGGGCGATACTTAACGTGCTTGGCTTCATCAAATATTTTGTCAGAGAAGCCAACTATCAGACCACAATGGTCAGAAGTAAGGTTTGTTATTACTGATTTAGAAATAGGTTTGTCACTCGAAAATATGTTATCTAAACAAGTTGCTGAATGGGAGGTGATTCTTGTTGGTTCATAGAATTGGTTTACTAAATTGAAACATTTAAACATTGAAATAAATCTAGTGCTTACTGAATTACTTTCAAGTATGTTTATGTTAAAATCTCCGCAAATAATGACCGACTTTCGTTTTCTAGTCGGTCTTTTAAGTACATCTTCCATTACTGACTCGAATTTGTAATAATCTCCGGAAGGGGGCCGGTACACGCATACTATAACGTAGTTCTCCAGTTCTACACAAGATAATTCAATAACACATTCAATTGATAGACTTACAATATCCTTACGATCTTTCGATTTGACAGTACTATTTATTAATATTAATGATCCGCCACGAATAGAACTACTTCTCATGAATACGCTACACAATTGGAAGTTGTCATCTCGAATCCATTAGTCCTCCATCATGACTAGATCCTTCATATGACAGAAAACGCTATGGGAATATTCTCATGGTTAACAAGTAACCATTTCCATACAGATTCTATGGGTGACTGCAGGTATAGGTATAGTCTAGGTAAGTGTAAGATACAGAACTGGGCTTAACTACGTCTCCCGTAAGTCAAAATTCATTACGTTTTTGACATACTGGATACCTAGCGATGAGTGTCGACTCTGTTCCCTAGGTTTCGTAGGTTAGTTAAATAATATTATTTTAGCATTTAAAAATTGACTGAGTTTCGTGCTATAGCTCATCTAGGTTTATTATATTTTTGTTCTAAAGTAATAGAAGACCGATCTCCAAGAAATTTCAATTGACGCTTAAAAATTCTTTCTGAAACTTTATTTGAAAAATCTATAATAATAAGTATTAATTTTATTTATACCTGTAGTACGTTCAAGCATCCGGTGATAATTATAAGAAGGTTTGGTTTGTGCGTGAAGGCTCCCATTCCACCAGCAATCACACTGAACAAGGCATATGTTAACAGACCAAACGCCGACACGCGAAGGAGGACATCCTTCTAGTCCCACTGCTCTTCAAAACGGAACTCCAACGATTGCACCCTGTGAATAGGCTCGGTATAGGAGGGAGGATCTGCGCTTCATCTCATTTTACTGCCACTAATCGTAAAGAAACAAACCAAGAATGGCAAGAGTTAGAAAAGGAGATGTTAATCACAAATGTGACGGTTATGAAAATGTCGAAGCCGTTAAGGAAGGAGGATGGGATGTAATGGAAGGGACAAAAAACTAAAATAAATAAACTAAAATCAATCATAAAAGACATGCAAATTTCAATTCAATGGCGGAACTTTGCGAACATTATAAATTAAATAAACAACTTTATCATATTTGAAATTCAATAGATTTATTTTAAATAAAACTTACCGTTTATATGCGATTGGAATTCCCAGAATAGAAAGCACCATCAACGCGTAGTAAGCAACATCCGGCAAATAAATCAAGCAGCTGATTGATGCCACCAAGAACAGCAAACCGCAAAAGATGCGGCCTAGAGATGGCCCTGCGCAGTCAACGTGGTTGCCGTGTTGCGCCGCTGCCATCGCTTCCGCCCTGCGCGAATGAAGAGCCTCCAGACGCATGTCTACGTCATTGATAACTCTGCCCTGCGATTCTGTAACTCACTTTTCGAACTCACACAGCGGTTTTCGCATCGGCGGTCGCTCTCAAATCAGTCGTGAAGCAGTCATTTTATGATTTGGCATTCTGATAAACAATAAACTACAAGCTCCCACCTTTTCAGAAGTGTAAACGAAACCGAACGAACGAAAACCGCTGTGTGAGTTCGAAAAGTGAGTTACAGAATCGCAAGGCTGCAACTAAACGAGTTTCTTAATACCATTTTTAATTGTTGAATTTTTTACAAGAGACACTTTTTCGTGATATTTTTACAAGTATAATACTTCTATTGTTTCTATTTCATGTTCTATATCACTATTATGAAAATTAAAATAAATAGGAGTTAGTGATAAATAATGATAGTTAGTTAGTTAATTATTCTGGTGTCACTTGGGGGGAAATAGCGGGGCATGTGAGGCGTTATGCCAGAGAAATTCTTTTCGAAAGGTACTTGACGATCTGGCAACGCCCCGCGCTGGTGCATTGACAATAGGGGCAATTCGCCCAGTCTTAAAATACTGAGGGGAGGAGATTGAGGGAGAGGTCTGGATGACCCTTGACTGACCGGTAGTTCAAGGCTGGGGGCTGACCTCGAGTGGCCTGGAACCGCAGGTCTTGAATGAGCTCTCTATGTCGGATATAAGCCCGGGTCCCTTGGGTAGAATGCCTAGCGAGCCCGAGGGCCCATATTAAGGGCGTGTGAAGGGCTGAGGTGTTTTTAGTGGATGGGGTCTCGCTACCCCTCTGAATAGCAGAGGGATTTGAGTGTAGACCCAGCCCCACAGTCCCCGCGTCAAGCTCGACAACCTTGATGCGGGCCTGCGTAAGCGCATTTTCACCTTATATAAAATAAAAACGTGTGGCACACGGGGCCTGCCGCGGTAAAGCTATTGCATAGCATTTTTTATTAACTTATGCAATTATAACTATTTATTTATTTTATATTATTATTATATTACTTCACTTTTTAAGCGTGGTGACCGATAAGAAAACAATTTTTTTTCTTTTATTAAATAAATGAGAAGTTAATATTGTTAAAATATTTTTATTATCTTACAATACATGTAGATTATTCAGGAATATTAATCATTGAAACTATAGGTTTATGGTAACTGAAATAAGAAACAAAAGTTTGAGACTTGATATCTTCTGAATATTTGGAAAATACCGCGTCAATGGTGGTCCCATATTTTGTTGTAGATTCTTGTGGATATTCATTTTTAAATTCAATATTTTCAAAAGAAAAGTGGTCAACCGCTCTGATTTTTTATAAGCGAAGTTGATGTTTAAATCGCCAGCCAAGATAAGTGGAAATTTATTACCATTTGTACTAAGTATTTTCGACCCTTCTTCAGTGTATTCCAGTAAAGTGCGATGAATAAAATGCTCTACCTCGTCCAATTTTGGATTCGGAGAAATGTAGATTGCTACCATGACTATGTGTAGGCCATTTCTAAGTTTGCATAAGCACGCACAAATATCTCCAACAAATGAGCTCATTACATTAACATCGCTACCGTGTGCAATATTTATTTTAATATTCGGAGCCATAACATTAGTAACATTATTATTATTTTGGTAAATAGCTATCCCACCTTTTGAAACAGTATCTTGTTTGAATTGAACAATACAATTGAAATTAGGTATTTCAGTCGGATTATCAGGCGTCATGCAAGTTTCGGTAAGAAGTAACACATTTGTTTGCCTCGTAACTAAATCTTGTAAATCGTATTTATTACTATTTAGACTTTGGCAGTTGAAAGTAATTATTGAAATATAAACGAACTCCATCAGGACATAATGTAGCAACATCCTCTTTTTTTGAAAAATCTCGATTCAATAAGTTGAAACTCATGCTCATCTACTACATCTCCATTACCTATTTCTGTCAAAATTTGTGAAAATGCAACATTAGCTTGTCTCATTACTGTGGTAAGTTGATAAAATTTCAATTTTCGCCATAAATGCGGTCCAATCATGCTCGTTCTGATTTTCTTGTAAATTGGTGTCGGTCTTACTGGTGGCAATTGACGTAAATCTCCGATCAAAATAACATCTATACTTCCGAAATCTGTGTTTTTTCCTGTTATTTGTTTTAAACGATTATCAATTTTATGTAAAAGTTCTGCACCGACCATCCTAACTCATCAATGATCAGTACTCTGACATATCTGAAGAGAGATCTATACAATTGCAACGTTTCTGATGACAGAGGCAAAAGTTTTGAAAGAGAAATTTTGAGTTGTATGAACAGTTGTCCCATCAATAGCTACGGCAGCTTTGCCGGTTGAAACACATGTAATATAGGGATTGCAGTAACCATCATTATCAGTGAACCTGTTGTATAATCAGTTTGATAACGAATGATTTTCCCGTACCAACTGGTCCCGTAAAAAAATTGAAATGGTTCTTGAATTGAAGTTTGTAAATGATGAATTAGAGTCATAAAAATATCTCTTTGTTGATCATTGGCCATTCATATTTTATACATAATGAAATAAATTCATTAAAAAATACACTTTGTTTATACATATTTAAAACACTTTGTACACAAATTATACGAGTACAGATATTCACTGTTGTACATAGATGATAAAAACCTAAACACCAGTAAACTTTCTCACAAACAGCTGATTACGAACCGAGCGAGATAGAATTATGCGCAGGTAGCTGAACTAGGTTAGGGTAGTAGGACTCCTTTCTCCGCAATTAGACTCCTAATTGGTCCATTGTGCGTACAGGTAGCTGAACTATTGTATTTTATTCTCGATATTTCTAGATACCTATGATTGTGTCCGCTTGTAATAAAACGTTCTGGAAAGAATTTAATTTCCGGAACCAACGATTACCTTTTATGGTCATAATAACCAAAGTGCACGGTTTTATTTGATTGCAAAAAACTAGTTATTATGTTTTATTGTATATATGTATTTTATTTTAAATACTTAAGACTAGTTACCACGTAACACGATCTCGTCAGAGGGATGGGAATGCGCAGTATGCGTTCTATCCCACTCTAACGCGTATTTGCCGCACCTATATTACGTCATCGTGTGTTAGGTTTTTTCGTTACGGAATTTCTTGTTTCGGTCGCCGCGCTCAAAGCCCGCGATAAAATCTATGCAATAGCTTAAAAAAATTAATTAATCTGGTATAGGTATAATGGATGAATGTTTCTGTGAATGATCGACTAAAAACTATAATACAGGTGCTGCATTAGTCACATTTGGGGTGATTTTTCTTATACACATCCATGTCAAAAAGTAATTGAAATTGTTCCCTTGATAAATTAATAAAAAATGAACCCATCTAGTTAAAATGTATTTTAACTAATGATTTTAACGATGACTTACCCGAGATAGCAGTCAATATGCTTCCACATGACGTAAAGTATCGCCATGGCGGTGACGAAAGAGCAATCAAGGATTAAGGCGGAAATCCTTGATTGCTGATATGGTGCGGAGACACTGACAATTATTTCCATTATCGTATTCCTTCCATACACGCTCGTATTATCAATACTGGCGATCAAGGCAGCTGGGTTCAAGGTATCGATAGACTCAAACATTTCCTATGAATTGTCCGCTGAAAGAAGGAAATCTGTTCATAATTATCTTGAAATATAGTCAATATTGGACAGAAATTCTAGCCAGGTAAAAAACTTTGATTGCAGATAAATGTAGAATTCTTCCTGACCGACTTGCGGCACTGACTTTCTACGCCATAGTCAACTGAAGGACTCACTCGTAAATATGCGAAATTAAAATACAATCTAAAAACGTGCTCCAAATAAGGAAACACAGCCGAAACTGAAAATAATGCTACTGGAATAACGTGAGACCGAAGACACATAAAAAAGCGTGCTGTATGTGGTGGTTCATCGACACAATTAGTTTTGACACTATTGCCCCAAACATCTCTATCATATCCAAAACTCTCTTAGATCGTGGGCACCAAATTGGATACCGTACTAACAATAGCTTTCACCGTAGAAGTGTACAGCTATTGGAATACTTCCAACATGGCTGTCTGAGTTTGAGTCGATTTCGTCCCGGGCGTGATCGATGCGTAAGTGGTGAACGGGTTAGGTATAATTCGGCAACAACCCAGTAACCCTGTGGTTTTAATTCTTGTCGTAACCTTTCGTGCTCATTATTACGTCGATGAACTTTGATTTAGGAGTGAAACCACCACCAAAGTAATATGAGGCATGAGTAGATGAAAATTGTTAGGTAACGTTTATCACGCAAGAAATTTTAGTATGAGAAAAGGCTGGAAGATTTTTATCTATTTCTGATTATACTAACTGGTGGTGAGAGTTATAGTCAGGGTCGAAAAGCTACTGTAATTGCTGCGGATTTAAAGGTGTGGTCGCAGTCGATGCAACAGTGGTAGCAGCCGTCGTTACAGCACCAAAAACACGACCCGCATGTCTCAAAGTTTGATTACGAATTGCTTCTGAAAATTTTAATACATTATTAACTATAATTATCTTAATTAGCTACAACCGAACACACTCTTGGAAATCAAATAATTTTTCTGGTTCTAAAAATATCTTCCTGCTATCAATCAATAATTCTTTGTTATACACGTAAGTAACACATATTACAGATATCTCGCAATTCTAAAATATTGGATAGATAAACGTTAACTGTAATTCGAACATATAATTTTATATTTCATTGCCGCTCGATAATATGCAAATAATACCTACAACGCTTTCAAATTGAGTTAGATGCGAAATGCGAACGTCCGATAATCGATATCACTTACACTTCAACTTTCAACTTTGCTATTTCAGATAACTTGACATTTGACATATAAATATGACTAGATGTTTTCATAGATAATGATATCATAGTAAATGCTCATATGTTATGTATAGCTTTATGCAAGCGACTGAGTATTATCAAAAAAATTCGAAATTTAAATAATGTAATAATCCTCAACATCATTCAAATTAGTTTGAATGTTATTTGATAAACTAATTGCACTTCTAAAAAAGCCCTTAAAATATATAAAAAAATCACTCATCTTTGTTATAATAAAATCAGTGTAAAATTCTGAAAATTTAAATCAAATGTGTGGTAACCAATTATTATCGTACAAGAATGTTAATACTTTTTTGAAACTCTCAGATCTAAATTAACACTATGATTTACTGACTGATTCACATTCTTTTAGGTTTTAAGTAGCACCATCTAGTTGCAGTAAGTGGTTTTAAATATACTTTTCTAATACCATCCACGTTTCTACACTTAAACACCATAGTACTATTGCAATATGAAAAACTATCAATACCAAATATGTACTCCAAGGTTTTTTATTGATGATTACAAGACATATATGTATATGTATTACATTTTTAAACTAAATTGTACCATTTCTTACATTTAAATTAACTTTGTATAATTGAATATAGGGCGTAATTTATGTTTAATAGATAAAATTGACAATTAGTGCGAAAATTAAGCACTAGGTTAATAGGTTTAAATAATTCACACAATAAAATGTTATCATTAATTATTTAATTTACTCAAATACACATTTATATTTTATAATCTAATTTAACATCGAGAAAACCACATAATATCATACACCTAAGATACAAATACAACAACACGCAATCTCTTTAATATAAAACATTCATCGCGTAGCCTTCTCAAAGAAAAGAAGATATAATTTTTGACGCCAATTTTAATTTCATCTAAAATTTGTATTATAAAAAAGGATTGTGTGGTTTTATGAAACCACGGTAAAAGTAAAACTTTTTTTCACATTATAGACATTGAACAAACATTTTTTTGGAATAATATTCCATTAAGGGCATAAAAATCCCTTTATCAATCCTAATTTTTAATTAATTGGAAAATTGGAATGATAATGGGAAATAATAAAAGTAGACTAAGTCTCCAACTAATATTTTTTTCACTATTCTTTGCTTTTTTCTCGTTGATCAGGTTTTTGGACTCACTAGCTGTGTCGTTGTTTACCAAAAGCAAATAAAAGTTTCACTTTAATAATCCACTCAAAACTGCATTCACTCGCATCTCACAAGGTGAGCTCACACTCTCCGAAACTGTAATCAGATCCTTAAATTTTAAATAAATATATTATTCAATAATATTTTAAGATCTATTTCTACACAATACGTACGTCACATAAATGATATAGCGCTTGACGTCTTCGTTTAAGTTATACAATAATAAACTCATTATTACAATGTATAAGTAAATTATATAGACAGCTTATACAAATAGATTGCACATAAAGGTTTTACATTTCATGCAATAGAATTTTATATAATTTTGTTTATCTCGTTCGTAGATTGGCAAAATTTACACAAAACGTCAACAATAAATTTTACCCTTTGAGCAAATACCATACTAGATTTATACAATTTCAACGCTGAATACAGTGCTAATAAAATGTGAGCGATGCTATAGGCCTCTTGGATATCGCTAGTGGCGCGGCTTTGTGGCAGATTCAGGTACCACTCGGGCGTCTGAGTGCGATCATCTGTACGGTTTACCTACATTATTCAATCAGTTGAAAACGTTACAAAGTGCTCTCAAAAACGAAAAAAATGGGTGGTACGAGATACTGTTGTGTTGTGTAAAAATCCCCAATCTCGGCATCGCGGATTAACTTTTTATTCGTTTCCTAGACTAAATTGGAAAATTAAAAAAATAAATGAGTGGATAAAGGCTGCCAGAAGAATGTAAGTAAATATTTATTATGACGTTGTTACCGGGAATGTATCGAAAATATACAAACTCTAAACTTTCTGTTTGTATGCTATAGGTACGTTTCATTTTTTATTATTTTTTTAGAACATTAGAAAACAAGCCGTGGCAGCCGAGTAAGAACACTCGAATCTGCAGTGCTCATTTTGTTGAAGGAAGGCAGTTTAACGTCGAAAACAGCCCAGCGTGTATACCAACAATTTTCTCCTCGTGTACAAAAAAAGAGATATCACAATTGGCCTTAGCTAGGACACGAGCGACATCTCAAAAATAGAAATATAATTTCAATTTTATTTTGCATGTGTAGTTGAGAAGTTGCTGAAAATATATTTGTTTACATTTTTCAACCATTAATTCACTCCACTTTCACACATTTGTCGTACAGTCGATTG